GTAGTCCCTAATATTAATCCATGGAAATGGGTAGTCCCTAATATTATTCCATGGATACTCATAGTCCCTTATATTAACCCATGGAAACACATAATCCTTAATAGTAATCCAAGAAAACATGTTGTAACTATTATTATACTATGTTTCATTGTTTATGCTGGTTTTATATTTTGCAAGTGACACTAAACTCAGGAGTTATATCCTAAAAGTGCATTCGAGTGCTCTAACTATTAACAAAAATGTATCTTATTTGTGTATCACTCAGCTGTAGATCCTCAAATCCTCTCTGAATTGATGCTGACACTGTCCTTCTCCTTTTGTTCCCCATGGTCGCCGTGTTTGTTGTAAAGTAGCCACTACTTCAAGCTCATTCCCATGATGGACTACAATCTACATTTTTGTTAATAGTTAGAGTACTTGAATGCATTTTTTAAGGTTTAACTCATGAATTTAGTGTCACTTTAATGTATGTAAGGGGCAGTTGGCTGAAGACTGACACTTGCAGTATACAAATGTGTACATCTTGAATTTGGCTATATAAATATATAAACATTTTACAACGGCTCAAAAAATTATTTAAAGGTTATTTAAAGCTCAACTGCAGTCCCATATCTTTTCACCTCATTATAGTTCTGTATATTATGATTTGTGACCTATTTTTGGTAGAAAATTTCCTAAAACACTTTTTTTCTCTTGGTGAAAATGCTACTTCAGCTTTGTGATGGCAAAGCTGGAGTCACAGCCACACCCCCTCATGACACGTGTCCTCACAATGAAGGGAAGAGGATGTGTCTGACAAGGTCTGTCACATTACTGAGAGCAGTGGGTTTTACTGTTGTGCCTATTTAACTGTTTATCGAGACACCCCCTTCCAATCCAGGCCATTTTCCAGTATTCAGCGCTGCGGTACTTTGACTGACATTTATTCCGTCATGCAGCGATGTACTGAAATTAATTTTATACCATTTTTTGAGCGAGCGGAAAAAAAATGCCTTTTTGTCTTCAAAATAACAACAAAGGCACTGTTAAAAATGTTTAGTAATGGCAATTTACAAACAGATACTTCTAGATATTTGCGAGCTTTTTATTTTTTCCATACGTTGTTTTTCTTTTCCTCTCACAGTGGCCATTTTAACTAAGGGCAGGTTACTAGATCTCCCTTTACTTCCTGGAAATCTGGCACATGTGACTAGGACATGTGACCATGCACATCATCTCAGGGGAGGAAAATGCCTTTCCCGAGAGCTCGTGAGATTACAAATGAGATTTCCTAGGGTATGATTGCATCATTTGTGCCAAAGTGGACCCGGAAGTGGAAAAAATATATTGTAAGTAAAATAAAAATGTATTTGTTTAGCTAATGAATGCAAGATGATTTCATGTCAGAATGCAGAATTGTATGCTGATGTATTTTTTAGTCAAAGGGGGTAAAGGTCCACTTTAAAGTACACTTAAAGCATGCTGCAGGTGGCCTCTCAACCAGTTTGGTGAATTAGGGCCAATATCATCTATAGCAGTCTAACGCATAGTTGCTGCATTTTTCTATTATGATTTCCTTGCTTTCTTCCAGTACTATTACATGGCATTATTACACAACCTCTTACATGTTTTAGCATTGTTTTAAATGAAAGTGAGCATTATCACAGATCTTAATCAAATAACTGGTTAGTTAAGCACATTGCATGATTAATAATTATAGGTAATACATTTAAACAGATGCTAGGCAATTAGGACATTACACACTATGGGGTCTATTCACAAAGCTGCCATAGGCAGCCAAGTGAATAACCAACCCGAAGTGAGCCGAACGCTGTTTAGCTATTCACTTCAGGGTGGTACACCGTACACCGACTAAAATCAGCCGTACATCGGCTTGGTGCGGCTGGCTTCGGGTCTGCCAAGCATGCTTAGCATGTTCGGCCGACCCGAAGTGCAGAAGGAGTTCGACTCAGCCGATCCAACATCGGCAGATGTTGGATCGGCTGAGCCAAACCTCCGGCAGGCTACTCGAAGCTGTTCGGCCTATTCTCATAGATGCTGAACAGCAGTGAGTGAATAGCCGAATGCCACCGAGCAGCATACGGCTCGCCTATTCTGCTCGGTACCACTGTGGTATCGAGCAGAATAGAATAATAGTTTAAAAAGTAGAAAAAAAAGAATAGAAAATGATAGGGCGGAGCAAGCAGTGACAGCTAGCTCCGCCAAACTGTTTCTATTGACTGGGCAGTTCTGCTGCCGTCAAAATGGGAAAAAAAACACCATTGGAATGCATAGCTAGATTCCTATTGGCTATTTCACTTTGCAATAGCCAATAGCAAACTAGCTATTGCACCCGCCCTCTGCTGCTGTCAATCACAAGAAGGGGACCTGATGGAGAACCTCAGGTGCCCTCTGCTGATTGACAGCAGAACTGGGCGGGTGCAATAGCTAGTTTGCTATTGGCTATTGCAAATTGAAATAGTCAATAGAAATGTAGCTCTGCATTCCTACGCTGGTTTTTTTTTCCGTTTGTTTATTCTAACGGCAGCCAACGGCTACGATGTCAGAATAAGAAAAAAAAGACAACAGAGCAGGGAAAGGTTTACTCTGCTCGATCGAGCAGAGTAAAACTTTCCGGGAGAAAGTGTTTCCCGGGCGGCCGAAAGCCGCTATCTAATTGCGGGAGACTCCCGGATCCTTGGGCTGTCTGGAGATCAGCGTCCCTGGTTACCTGGTAACCAGGGATGCTGATCTATCTGTGCAAGTGGCCGGAGCCAGCCGCCCAGCAGTCAGTAGCAGGCTGTCGGTCGGCCGGCCAATGTCCGCCTGTTTGGCCAGCTTCGGCTTTCACCTCAACTCAGTCGAGCTGAAGCATATGCGTTCCGCTCGACTGAGCCCCTCGGCCAACTTCGGGAGCTGTACGGGCTATAGTGAATAGCCCGTACAGCAGCCCTTCAGTTCTACTGCACCGAAGGGGTCCTGGGGTCGAAGCTAGCCGAAGGATCAGCCGAAGCTACGGCTAGATCCTTCGGCAGCTTTGTGAATAGACCCCTATATGTGCTTTAGCATTTATTGGTGTTCCGTTTCAATATAAATGCCATATAAACCAAGTCCAACAGGACCAAGGAAACATATGTTGTACAACTTGTCTTTAATCTACAGATAGTAGCCGTCCTACTGTTTGTCACTTTTATGAAAAAAAAGATTCATGTTTCCAATAAGAAAACTGAAAGGTGAGGACAGGCAATACTATCCACACTTTATTATCCATGTGCATAAATTGTAGAGTGACCCGACTGTCCCTACTGATTCTGATAGTACTAAGGGGGAATCAGACATGGTGGATGTTTCATTCCACAGCTTGTGAACTGCATGTAACAGGAGCTTGCCATACTGTGGATGAGCATACATATCAGCCTTTGTGTTTTAGAGAGATAGTCCCAATCCTCTGACCTCAAAGTGGTGGCTTCATTGGGGATGGGGCTGGCAGTTAAAGTGACCCTGTCACTTTAAAAAAAGATATGAGGTCCCTGCAATATAAGAGCTTTTAGACATATCTTTATAGTCACCAATGTCTCCTACTGCCCCTCTGTTCCAGCACTGCAGCCTCCCTCAGTGTCTTGAGCATTTAATGCTTCCTGGAGTGCTATATGCATGGATGCCTCACAATGCATCATCCACTTTGTCACTATAGTGGCACAGAGGTCAGGGGATGGAGCCACTGTGCATCTGACACTTCTGGAAATGTCAAATACTGAAGAGTCTTATAGCAGCTGCAACACTGGAATGAAGCTGAGGTAGGAAACATGAGCCATCTGAGAGGTGAGTAGGAAAGCTCGTCTGTTTCATTGACCTTTGAGCTTAATTTTCTTTTCACCTGATAAGGTAATTTTTAAATGTTCAAAGGTATAGAGAAAGGAATGGAGCAAAATATGAAAACCACAGAATGAAAAATGATGGAAGAAGAATGCCCAGTGGCAAAGAGATGTGTTATCCATATACCAGTAGAATGTATCTAAATCCTAAATATGTACAGTGATATAATTTCTATTGCAGTTACAGTATAACTGGTCTTTTCTCCACAATTGTTTTCTTAAAGGTTATGATTAGTGATTCATAAGTTTATCCTGTGCACCGTCATAGTCATTTTATTATGAAACTATTTCCTCTCTAGTCCTTGTACCTGTAATTAAAGCACTATGTCACCTTTGCGTCAGTCCACACATATAAGCACAGAAAAAGGGTTCTTATTAAATCCCAAAAGCTCTAATCTAGTCATCTATTTTTCTGACAAATTCATTTTTACTGAACGGTAATTGTTGGTTCTGTAAATGTTTTTTTTCTTTTCCTGGGAGTGCTAGAGTCTATCTAATAGTCTGTGACGTGTCAACTTTTATTCATATTTCTACTAAACAAACAACTCTTGTCCAGTCACGTATTCAATAATAATATTGTGTTTTTGGTCCATATTTTATAATAGAGTAGATCAGCAGAATGACTTCTGATCAAACTGCAAACTGCAGATAAAACTACATGACTTCTACTCATGTCAGGGCAGGAGGGCAGTCCTAGGCACTTAAAATAAAACCAGCAAGAAAAGAAAATTGCTCTTCATAAAGTGCTGCACTCCTCAAAGACAACTGTATCATAAACAAAAATACTAACTGTATTAAACTGTAAAGAAAATGTTAACCCATTAAATAAGAATCTCTAAGCAATGTCTCTGACATTACAAGGCCCTTCTCAAAAATATAAATATGTTCCCCATATTGCAGGGCCAAAAGTGGGCACATGATTCAATAAGCATAATATCTAATAGTAGAACACCCTAAAAGTACATGTAATAAAAAGTAGGTAGACCAAGACCCAACCTAAGCTTCTCTGATGGAAACCTTCATTAGAATATGATATACAGGTATAATGCAATACAATTATGTCTCCTAGCTTCCCACCAGAGGTACTATTGAACATTTTTAGAGAGATTTACTTTCTATGTACTGACAGTTTAACACCTTTCCCTTTCTAGGCATAACACGTGGCTACCATTTCTTAAACTTTAATGGGATACCAGTCAGGTAGGCTACCATTTAGCTGTCTTCTGTCTTTACTGTTGACACTGCTATAGATCTCTATAGTAATAAGAAGAGAACCTTTCCATTTCCTTCCTTTACCTACCCCCCCCACCCCCCTTCCCCCCCCTCTCTGGCTTTTCTTTCCTTTTCTCTTCTTACCTTTTTTTTACCTTTTTCTTTTTTTACCAATCACTCACAGACATGTCTTGCATATGATTATCTGTACTGGAATAATGCAACTCCCCATGGCACATTGTTTGTGTTTCTTTAAGGTACTGAGAAACCTTGCCCAGATGGGGTGCAGTTGCTGTAAAATACTGAACAGGTAATGCTTTACATGTTATGAAATCCATTCTTTAAACAGCTCTCCTCCATTGAATACTATACTAAAATAAAATATGCATGACCATGTCACATATAATGAAACACCATTTCCCTAGCAATACTTTGGGCACCAGACTTTTTGGTGCCCAGGATTTGGTGCAATGCGTTTAAGCTTTATGATTTTTTGTAGGATATTTAGACATTGTTGACTTGATAGTACAGTTTTTGTTATGGTCTTTTATTTTGCCATGGAAATTATTACATTTAGAGTTACTTTAACATTTTTCCAAGACCCTCCCCGCAACCAGGGGCGTATTTACCGTGAGGCAAAGTAGGCGTTTGCCTAGGGCGGCACCTTCCTGGGGGGCGGCCGTAGTCAAACGCCTATGTTGTGAAGAGGAGGGGAGAGCTGGAGCCCGTCTGTGTGTAGGAGTGGAGGGCGGCTTGCCTGCTTGTGAAGAGGGTGGGAGGACGGATGGAGCCGGACAGCGCAGCCGACGGATGGGATCGTGACTCAGAAAACGAAAAGCAGCCGGCGGCCACTTACTCGATCTCACTGCAGCAACCACTTCACTCCACTCTCTCTCTCCCCAATGAGGTTGGGACGTTACTTGTACTGTCAAGTGGAGATCACGCCACCTGCAGGTACTGACTTTATTTCAGTGCTGGGTGCTGGAAAGCAGAGAGCATTTCAACACTTACTACCCTGGTGCTCTTCTATTAAACAACTACTAACCTGGGATTTAGTGTGTTGTAATTGCTTAAATGCAGCAAATGTCAACAAATGTAGATCAGCCCTGAAGATGTCCTGTAGCTACCAGCCAGCAGAAGAACCTTGCTGATGTAACACACATCTGACCAGGCAGCAGACACGCAATGTGACTGCCCAATGAGATCTGGGTGGTATCAGATCTTTGTTGGGAAGAGTAAGTGAAATGCAGAACAGAAAGCAGAGTAGATTCTTTGCAAATGGCAAAGATACCGCAGGGAGCAAAATCTTTTACTTAGGTGCTAGTTGGCGCAGCTCACCACGTGGCGCCCCACCCCCCCCCCATTTGAAAAAATTGGGCCCA